ATTTTTTAACTACTCTAGTATTCGTAGATGCGGTACACACACAATATTTAAATATTATTTGTTAACACTAAATCATACACACGTAAGAAAATAACAGAAAGAAAAGTAAGTTTGTCAATAGAATAAACACTTATAATTGCAATTAACAATTTAATTGGTGCCGGCGGGGATCGAACCCGGGTCGCGTACTGTGAAATTTACACCTTGCGCTAACCATCTGAGCTAGCACGACTTAATCATATAAACACACTATATTTAAATATAATTTGTTAACACTAAATCATACACACGTAAGAAAATAACAGAAAGAAAAGTAAGATTGTCAATAGAATAAACACTTACATCCATGGCCTTTGATGCGTTGAAGTAACACAAATGTATCGATAGATCCACTGCGGTCAAACGACCATACACTAACTCCATGACTGCACTTGCTTGGTCTTATATAGTACCAGTAAGTAATAATTCTAATCTAAAGAATTTCTGCAGTAGAATTGATAATAACTTTATGCGTCAACAAGTTTATCTCACATTTTGTTGCTTATCTCAACATTACTTCGTGTCGCGTCTTGTTCAGTGTATTGATGACTCAAATACGCTTTGTATAACACAAAATAATGCAATTTAATATTTAGAAATCACTATAATTGATCATTGCTATGTTAGTCATTGAGTAGATTGTATTGTAATAATCTACTAATAGCAGTAATGTCATGGTGTATCCATATGTCTAGATGTACAACAACATCTGAAAAAGATTCACCCCACTCTAGAAAATATAATATGCAATTTGGATACAGATGATAAACCAGGGTCACATTGGGTAGCTTTATATATCGATACGAATGACGTCGGTCAATATTTTGATTCATACGGATGAGCACCTGTACGATATCATCTAGAGTTTTTAAAAAGGAATTGTAAAAGATGGAACTGGAATGTTGATAGGATTCAGAATGAGTGGACTTCAGTTTGTGGCGAATATTGCTTAATGTATTTGCTATATAATTTTCAGGGATGTTCAATGCATAGTTATACGAGTATTTTTACAGGGAACACATTGTACAACGATATTTTAGTCGATGAGATGTTTCGTTCCTATTTTATAGATAATAACAAAATTAGGTAATGTATTTTATTGATGATTCAGATTACCGTTGCAGTTAGGAACAAAGGAGTATAATATAATAAAACAATGACGGTATTCAATGAACAATAGATAAATAACAATGGGGCGCTAATGACGGTGGAGGCCCTCACCGGATATCAATTAGATAAGAGTTAATTGATCTGCACATCTCCGGAACCGTGCATCCTACGCAAAAATGGACCGCAAATTCGTGATCGGAGCATGCCAAAACCTTTTTTTTTCTTTAGGATCGTGAGTCGACGAACGTTATACTTGTACCACTTCTGACTCAGTGAGCCAGAACTGGTACAACGTAAATACTGCCGTGGCTGTAACAACTGTCGATACGCATTATCGATGAAAAGCTGGATATTATAATAAAGATAGGACTTTTACTAGATTATTAGTAATAAATAAATTATTCCTACTATGATTACCTATCATTTAGCAAATATGTTTTATGGCACCTGCTAAAGTTCTCTGTTTAGCTCGTGGTTGATTGGTAGAGAATGCCTAAAGGCATTAAGTCCGCCAATTGTACTTTTTAAGTGGAATAAAATTCCTTTAAAAAATAAATAAACTTAATGATATTAAAATGGATTAATTTCATAAATACAGGCTTACAGGTTAAGCCGACCTAGAAGATCTCCTGTAGGGGGTTGTAGTTTGCATCATTACCGACTATTTCCACTATAAAACACCATACCCCTAACTTAACCGTTTTCAAGATATTGGATATTTACGTTTTTTATAAAAATCGCTAATTTTTGTCTATTGTACAATTTTTTTTTTGTAATTCGTGCACCTTGTTTTGTTTTTCTTATAATTTTTGTGTAGTAGATAAGTTGCTTTATTATTTTAAACACCAAGATCTTAGGCGAATAATCAATCTGGTTCGTAGTAGATGATTGACAGTTAAAAAAATGAATTTGTACAAAGTATTTTTCTTTGAGGGATATTAAAAAAATCTATGACAGGTATGTTGCAGATTTACTTAAAAATATCTTCGTTTCTTCAGCTATCCAACAAGGTATAACAATATAGGATATTACTAGAATTCCTAGAAAAAACTTAGATGGAACGTTTACAGGTGGTAGAATTAAAAAAATAGCAATGTTCATGCGTCGTATTTATCGCTTGGCTCTACCCATTGTATAACGCTTCTCCTGAAATGTGCTGGGCAACCGTCATGCGGAAGTCACATGTCTCTAATCTGATTGAGTGCTGAAAAATCCAATAAGGCGGATAAATCTTGTCATAAAAAGTTTTTGTAGTGTTCTCCATTTAAATTGTCAATTAGAAAGTGAAGCTCAATCAAACGGTACGATATTACGCCTATCCAAACATTCAAGCTGAATCATCTTTGTGACCCCTTTATCCGCTTAATAATGAGCGTTGTGGTAATTGGTTATACCATCTTTATCAAATTTGGACTCATCTGTCCATAAGACATTTTTCAGAAATTATGGGTCTTTTAAATCTGCATTCATCATGAATTTGCAGAAATCGAACCTCATCAAAGGATCTTCTTCTTCGATAACTTGTACTGGCGTGTAGTGATATACGTATAGGCCCGCGGTATGGATATTAAACCATACTTTCCACTGCGAGAGTCCCAAGTTCTCGGGCAACAATTTTAGTAGAAGTAGTTGGATCCAATCTTGAACAATGAACTATCTCATTGTCTTGCTCTTCGTCATCATCAATGACACATGGTCTACGCAGGTTTCTTCTTCGTCGCCTTGAAACATAGCTAGTCTCCCTAAGTCGTCGATAAATCTGTCAAACACACTAACATCTGGCACTCTGCGGCCGGGAAAACATACAAGCTATGTAATCAAATCATAATTTTCCTTTGACTGAACCTGAAAAACAAATAGGTTATAATACGCTGTTATTATCTTTATATGCAGCTTACTCAATCTCAACAATAAAATAGTAATTGGGCCACTCAATAAGTTTTGAGATATACAAAAAGTATTCTAGATACTATTAATATTTATTTTACATCTTTTCAAAATATTCTCCATCATGCTCTATACAATGTTCCATTCGCCTAAACCAACTCTGAAAACACTTTTGCCAGTCCTGATCTGACAGGTCGGAAATCGATTCTTTTTTTCTTCTTTATATATTTCAATAGGAAGAAGGCTGGGCCTTTTGCAAGCATACCACTATACAAGACTTCAAGACACTGTAAGCTCGTTCTGGGTAGATGGGACCAAAATCAATATTCAAAAACTGAAGGTAGCCGTGCTAACTATGACATCGGGACATTAAACACCTGCAATTAAATTAAACTCGATAAAATCCGGAAATATTCGTTTCATTTAAAATTATTTTTATGTTTATTCAGACATTTCACTCCAGTTTAAGCTTGTTGCAGTTATTTATGTAATTGGTTATGATATTTCCAATGCATTGTAAAAACTATAGAACTATATAGAGAAATTTCATAATGGACGGGCAAGCTAAAAGCAAGGCAAATAAAAACAAACAAACAAACAAAAAACAAAGCAAGGCAAATAAGGCAAGGTTTAGACGAAGCCAGTGTTGTCTGCCAGTTTTACTGGCAGCCAGCGCTGGCTGCCAGCACTGGCACTGGGAACAGCGCGTGTGCCTATTTTTCAAGCCACTGACCTCCGCCCGCGTGCCCCGCAACTCCCGCTCCAGAATAAATAAATTATAATATAAAAATTTTACTACTGATATTGTACAAATTCCTATATTTGATGTATGTGTACTATATGATAAACATTATTTTCAGTTAAAGTTTACAAAATAATTAATTTAATACAACGATTCACAAGAATAATCTAGGAATGAAATGAAGCCATTTGGCCTCATCTAAACAACACGGGCCAGGCCAGCGCTGGCTGGTCTGAGGACTGGCACCAGCGTTACTGGCTTCGTCTAAGCCTTGCTTTAGTGTCTATATGGACAAATAATTGTTCTGGGTTAGGATGTGCGTCGTTGCTCATTTTATGTATGTAAACTGCTTTCACAATGCAGGAGGAAAACCTACTGTAACATTTTTTTTAAATACTTTATTCGATCCACTCCGGCACATAAATTTCAACTGCAACTTTAAATGCTCAGTAGTAAAAGAAAATACATATTCTATATCTGAGAAGTTAAAAAAAACGAAGTCAAGAATTTATCCGTCTAACCGAAATGTAACGGAGGCTACGTAAGCCTCTTAGAAATTATATTAATACTATATTACTACTTTTTCTTTTAAATGCATCCATTTTTAGATTCTTCATATATACATATGATATGTACAAAATACACAAACTGTACGCACGATATAGTTTTGTTTTGTTGTTTACTGTTATGATTATGAGTGTCATTTTACGACTTCACACAATCCAAAGATGCGAAGAACCCCAGACCATTCGTTGACCCTCCCAATCTGGGCTATGCTGCGTACTGTTCAGATAACTTAATGTCCAGTGCTTGCGTACGTCGTGGCACGTACGTTTGTGTGCATATGTGAGCTAAAAGTTTATATCACGTAATTTCTTCGATCGTATAACACAGTCTCGTGCGCACTTATGCCATGTAACTAGCTCCTGGTTTAAGGATACAGAATTTAAGAAAGTAGTTGTATATTTTTTTAATTTAAAATGGCATCGAGTGTTTTTGAGACAGACGTCATAAACTTGGAAGATGATGTGGATCTGGGGTATTCAATTTGTTTTAATTTTTAACAATTTTTACAATGTATTGAATTAACCGATACAGATAAAAAATATTTTTTGTGTTAGTGTGCTATTAATATTTTGATTCTTTACTACAAACCTAGTATTCGTCAAGTGTTATTTAATTTGTTTTAAATTTTAACAAACTATTGTATTTTTATTTCCAGGCAAGTGCTGGAAGGCGTTCGCTATGTGCATAGTAAAAACATCGTCCATCGCGATCTAAAGCCAGAGAATATTCTGCTGGACGATCAGCTCAATGTAAAGATCACGGACTTTGGTTTCGCCAAGGTGCTGCAGGACGGAGAAAAACTTTTCGGTGAGTGGATATGATTTTGTGATTGTTTAATACAGCTTATCGCACACAAAAAATTAATTAGATAGGGGAATATTTGAATAAGTGAGCATCTCTTTGTTTACGCTTTTTAATATTAATCTTGTATGCGTATATTACGAAACAGGTACGACAAATACATGAAAATGCTAAATACTATATAAATATGATACATTTTTGGGGTTCTCTGCGTGATAAAATCCTCAAGAAGGAAATATGCTGAAAAATAAGAGTATTCAGTTTCTCTATAACTCAATAAATAACTAAGGTAGCAATAGAATAGGCCGGTAGGAAAGAATTATACATTACAATTAATTAAGAATTATGCATACATTAGTGTACAGTATGACCTTAAACTTGACTTAAACATGTGTAGTGGCTACTCTATACCGTCCCGTGGGTAGTCGTAAGTGGCGATAGAGCGAAATAAACGAGATGAGCGGCAGCGTTTTCCTAATAACAGTTTTTACATGGTAGAGCCACGCTGCAGCCATGTTGTAGCTGTAGCACGAATGGGTCGGCTCGACCAGGGGAGGACCACGCTCTCACATAATACCGGCGTAAAATAGCAGCTTAATGGGAAATATAATGTCAAATGGCTTAGCAAGATCCTTCGTTATGCCGAAAATATTGCATCATTAATTTTGAAATAAATATATGGTAAAGTTGAGGATTAATGTTAATGTTATGTTAGACAAAAACACGATTTCGTAAAATTTTCTCGATAGAAACAAAATCCAAAGTTACCTCCAAAATAAACAATAAACCGCTGTTATTCATAAAATACTTTAAATAAGATCATGAAACTTTGCATACTAACTGAACTAACCATAAAGCAGTGCTTATGTTATTTACTTTTTTTAAAATACCATTATTTTCACTGTAAAAAGAAATTACCTAAACTATGGGCGTCTTGAGCTTGATTCCTGTCGCACCGTTAGTATCGCTTAGGCTTTTGAAGGGAGAAGTTGTGTCGCTTACGATCAGAATATACATTACGCAAGAGTACGACGTAAAATTAAAATGGGAAATAACCGTGATAAAAATAAGAAGCGGCTGGCTTGGCGTTAAGAAACAGGCATAAATATGATAAACCTAATGAAATAAGTGTCTAACGACCTTTCTACTTACAGTATTAGTGATTACAAACATATCGGTACATAGCATACGACGCGCGGGGAAGTGGGGGCGAAATTAGAATTTGAGCTGACTTACTCTATCCTCTTAATGCTGCTGTGTTTCGTATGGTCAGTGTAGAGAACCGGAGACCCTTTTTATTGGAAACGAGGCATTCCATCTTAGTCCTCTGGGGTGACAACGCATCTGTATTTGATTTTGATTTTAGTCTATGGCTCATACTTCCATATTATGCTAAGATTTTTTTTTATATAAGCCCAGTTGACCGGTCTATATTCTCTAGGTTTGTTCTTCTAGCGTATTTTGGCATATAGAGATATATATTTAAAACATGTTAAACTAAATTCGACATAATACGTATATTATAATATATTATCATTGTTGATATGGTTTGTGAACAAACACAGTCCAGTAGATTGCAGCAGCTTGCTTCGAACAACTCGTTTTACTTCAAGTTTCACACAATACCTCACTTGAATCCATTGTATTGTTAATATACGTTCTGCACATCTATATCTTCTTCTCAAAGTTCTTTATCCAAGGTTTACCCCGCGAAACTATAACATACGAGGGTGGATTGAAAAGTACTCGGCACTAACCAAGAAAATAAACACATACTAAATCAGTTATATTTTTATTTTTCTACATAATCACCATCAAGTTCAATACACTTTTGCCACCTCCCCTTCCAAGCATTTAGACCGTTGAAAAAAATGATTCTTCCTTAGAGTCAAAATATGCGTCCACAGCTGCTTTGACCTCGTCGTTTGTCGAAAATCTTTGACCTCCCAAGTGCTTTTTTAGGTTAGGGAACAGAAAGAAGTCTGATGGTGCCAGATCAGGTGAATACGGTGGATGCGGTAACAGTTCAAAGCCACAGTTGTGAATTTCAGCCATTGACTGTACTGACGTGTGAACACGGGCGTTATCTTGATGAAACAGAACTTTTCTTCTGAGCATTCCTCGACGTTTTTCTTTTATTTCCTCTCGTAAACGACGTAGTAAGGTGCAGTAGTAATCAGAGTTTATAGTCTGACCCCTTTCAAGATAATCAATCGTAATCACACCTTTCGAGTCCCAGAATACTGAAGCCATCACCTTATTTGCCGACAAAATCAACTTAGCCTTTTTAGGGGTGGTGAACCAGGTCTTCTCCACTGTTTTGATTGTTGTTTTGTTTCCGATGTACAGTAATGAACCCATGTTTCGTCCTTAGTAACAAAACGATTCAAAAAATCATCTGCATCGGTTTCAAATAACTCCAAACAGTCGCGTGAAATAGTCAATCGCGTCCTTTTTTGTTCAACTGAAAGCAGTCGCGGAACCCACCTCGCAGACACCTTGTGGAAACCCAACTCGTTGACAATGATGTTTTGAGTTCGTTCATAAGAGATGCCTATAATCTCGGCTATCTCTCTAATTTTTAATCTGCGGTCTCCCATTATTAAATCAAGTACTTTTTTAATATTTTCGTCAGTAGTTGACGTCGAAGGCCTTCCAGAGCGGGGTTCATCTTTCACACTCTCTCTACCACGCTTAAATTCTGCTATCCATTTTTTGACGGATGAATATGACAGAGCACAATCGCCTAATGTACTGACCATGTCATCATGGATGGCTTTTGATGATAGCCCCTTCTTATGGAGGTACTTAATGACGGCACGCTGCTCGATTTGCTCCATTCGCGGAAATTATGTCCGATTACTTTGTTAATAAATTTATAAAATCACAACTAATTATCGCACACGTTTCGAACTTCACACAATGAACTAGTCTGAACTGAACTAAATAATTTGGGTAGATTTGATTTTTAGAATTGAATGGATCTGTGTTAGGCCGAGTACTTTTCAATCCACCCTCGTAAATATAAGATAAACAAATTATTTGCATTTCTATTTTTTTTTTCATTTTACATGAGTTATGCCACATAAGTTAGTTCATTTAAAATAAGTAAAAGTTTCGGGCTGTATTGTAAGTGGTAGCATTGACTTGACCTTTTGTACAAATGTAATTAGCATCTAATATATTACCAAATCTTTAATTTCACCACAATAGTTTCAATACAAACTTTTTATGTAATTATTATATACTTTATATACTTTAGGTTACTAGAACTTGGAGTTAAAAATACACGGCTTTTAAAATTATTATAATTTAAAATTAGTATAATTTTATGTCAATGGTTTTAGTTGTTTTCACTTATATTGGTTGGACTGGTAGTTTCGTTATATATAATTTAAGTTAAGCAAGGGTAGAAGCACTGGCTTATTAACATAATATGAAGTTGTTTTAACATTATAAAAACTTCCTGGGCGAAAGGTTATTTGGAGGCTAGTTGTTAATTGAAGCATACTGTATTCGATATAGTTACTTCAAACAACGTAGAAAGAAATAAAACTTTACATTTATCTCTGTTGCGGAATCTCTCATGTGGCGACCACTAACTAAATTTCATACGAGAGGAGTATTTTAGGTAACAAAGGGTTGAACCCTTTGCTTCTTCACTGATCGTCGTCGTTTTTTATTCGGGTTGATGACAGGGGTCAAAAGTACTTGTAAAATTTAAAAATATCGGTATCCTAAATTATGTTTCAGAGCTGTGCGGAACACCGGGATACCTCGCTCCAGAAACCTTGAAAGCGAATATGTTCGAGGACGCGCCCGGCTACGGAATGGAAGTTGACATGTGAGTTTGATGCAGTTAAAATTATTCATTCATTCTTGATGTATAATTATTTGGATACAATTAATTTTCGAAATATAGCGGTACTTCTGAAAACTTATTAACATTTTGGTGATTTTAATGTTGTAGTACTAACTTAAACTATCCGCCATTATTTGTCAATTTGCCTAGCCGATTTATCGATTACCACTAAATGAAATAGGGTTATGAATCCTCTTATGTAGTAACCACAGGATGATAGATGAAAAATACTTAAATAACTTTTAAAAAGTCGTATCTACATAAAAGCCATACAAAAATACAATGCAAATGCGTAACTTGTAATGTCTTCTAGATCGATTTTCGGTTATGGCGCCCAGTTTCAACGGATACTAGCCAACTGCGCAGGACAGGTTTATAGTGCACGACTGTGTACGTAAGCGTACGTAAGCATAGGTGTACTGTTTATTCGCTTACTCTGATATTCCCATGAGACCATAATCGGACACAACCGGATAGATCGCGGGCGTAAGACCAACAGCTTTACGTGCTTGCCGAGGTTCGAGAACACCGCCATCTAGCTGACTACTACTGAGAATTTATTAGCAAAAACTAAATAACTATCTTTAACCCGACCGGATATTCGAATCTGGAACTTTATGATCAACAATAGTACTCACGATCACTAGACCAACATGGCAGTAAAAAATATAATAATATCAGTCAAATAGATCACTTAAGTAAGTACTAATTTTTACGTTTGTGTTAATATTCATTTAGTAAATTCTATTTAGTAACATTTTACTCCTAGATAATTCTACTTATCTCGCAACACGTCTTATCATTTCAATCATATCAATCATGAACGATTAATACAACTACAAAATGTTGATACATTATAAGAGTTTTATCTCTTTGAAGTAGGTACATACATACGTCAATTATAATATGCATTTAACTTATTATGTAAAGCCGGAGTAGCTCAAGGACTAAAAGCTCGCCGTAAGTTCCACAGTAGGTGTGCGACCTGAGTTCGATTCCCACCGGCACCACTGAACTAGTTAATTGCAATTTGCTGATTTACCTTTGCTCTTCTTCTCTCTTTCATTTACCATACTCCGCGGTGTAGAAAAATCACGTGAGGGAACCTGCAATATAATATTACAAGGACTTGTTTTGATGTCCAACAACACGTACTGGGGCAGTGCGGCGAAATAACCGGCCAAAAACCTCCCAGAGATAAGGGGAGACTAGTGCTCAAATGTGGGACGCCAATATACATTCATTAGCACTATTTCTGAATCTTAATAACAGCGCCACCTTGCAACTATATTTAAGAACCATCCCGGAGATTCCATAAGTGTCCCAGAAAAATTTCATAAAAAACGCTCAAGACGTTAAGGAGAACAATAATTATGAATATGCGCACACCGGAATTTAATCTAGAAAAAATAGGGTGCAACATGTCAACGGAGTAGAAGCCTATGGCACTGATATTACGAGGGTGGATTGAAAAGTACTCGGCCTAACCAAGAAAATAAACACATACTAAATCAGTTATATTTTTATTTTTCTACATAATCACCATCAAGTTCAATACACTTTTGCCACTTCCCCTTCCAAGCATTTAAACCGTTGAAAAAAAATGATTCTTCCTTAAAGTCAAAATATGCTACTACAGCTGCTTTGACCTCGTCGTTTGTCGAAAATCTTTGACCTCCCAAGTGCTTTTTTAGGTTAGGGAACAGAAAGAAGTCTGATGGTGCCAGATCAGGTGAATACGGCGGATGCGGTAACAGTTCAAAGCCACAGTTGTGAATTTCAGCCATTGACTGTACTGACGTGTGAACACGGGCGTTATCTTGATGAAACAGGACTTTTCTTCTGAGCATTCCTCGACGTTTTTCTTTTATTTCCTCTCGTAAACGACGTAGTAAGGTGCAGTAGTAATCAGAGTTTATAGTCTGACCCCTTTCAAGATAATCAATCATAATCACACCTTTCGAGTCCCAGAATACTGAAGCCATCACCTTATTTGCCGACAAAATCGACTTAGCCTTTTTAGGGGTGGTGAACCAGGTCTTCTCCACTGTTTTGATTGTTGTTTTGTTTCCGGTGTACAGTAATGAACCCATGTTTCGTCCATAGTAACAAAACGATTCAAAAAATCATCTGCATCGGCTTCAAATAACTCCAAACAGTCGCGTGAAATAGTCAATCGCGTCCTTTTTTGTTCAACTGAAAGCAGTCGCGGAACCCACCTCGCAGACACCTTGTGGAAACCCAACTCGTTGACAATGATGTTTTGAGTTCGTTCATAAAAGATGCCTATAATCTCGGCTATCTCTCTAATTTTTAATCTGCGGTCTCCCATTATTAAATCAAGTACTTTTTTAATATTTTCGTCAGTAGTTGACGTCGAAGGCCTTCCAGAGCGGGGTTCATCTTTCACACTCTCTCTACCACGCTTAAATTCTGCTATCCATTTTTTGACGGATGAATATGACAGAGCACAATCGCCTAATGTACTGACCATGTCATCATGGATTGCTTTTGATGATAGCCCCTTCTTATGGAGGTACTTAATGACGGCACGCTGCTCGATTTGCTCCATTCGCGGAAATTATGTCCGATTACTTTATTAATAAATTTATAAAATCACAACTAATTATCGCACACGTTTCGAACTTCACACAATGAACTAGTCTGAACTGAACTAAATAGTGTGGATAGATTTGATTTTTAGAATTGAATGGATCTGTGTTAGGCCGAGTACTTTTCAATCCACCCTCGTAGTTAGTACTACATAAAAAAAAACATAAAAACATAAACACTCACGCCTGTCACCCAGAGGGGTAGGCAGAGACTATAGACTTCCATTCGGCACGATCCTGACACACCTCTCTCGCCTCCTTCACATCCGTACATCTACGCATGCATGCTCGTCGGTTAAGGGTACTCCTAATTTGGCCCGTTTTCAATAAATCGCCAATTTGGTTGATAAATTTTCGCCTAGGACGTCCCTTTCCGACTCTGCCATTCACTTCAGCAACATAAATTTTCTTTGTCACTCTTTCCTCATCCATTCTTTCCACATGACCAAACCACCGAAGCATTCCTTTCTTAATCCTGGTCACAACATCATCTTGCAAACCATACTCTTCTCTTATCACACAATTTTTCACCCTGTCATTCAGATTCAGCCCTAACATACTCCTTAACGACCGCATTTCTACTGCATTTATTCTACTCTCGTGCTTCTTCTGCCACACCCAACTTTCACTACCATACGTTAAAGTAGGGACCAACACAGCATTGTGAATTGCCATACGTGCCTTTTTTTGACACATTTTGACTCTTCACAATAGAGTGCAGGGCCCCATTTACTCTGTTTCCTGCGTTCACTCGTCGTTCTATATCCTTATCATATCTCCCATCCCTGCTAAATACGCAGCCCAAATATACAAAGTCATCTACTTGCTCGATCAACTCCCCTTCTATTCTTATTTCACATATCGTTTTACTTTCATCTCTTCCAAAAACCATAATTTTCGTCTTACTTGCGTTCACTTTCATACCCCTTTCTTTTAATGATCTGTTCATTAATGTAACCATCATTTGCAACTCAGCCGCTGACGACGCAAGAATAACTTGATCATCGGCGTACAAAAGGCATTGGGATGGTTAACTCACCCATTCTTAATCCGCATTCTTCAACTTTCAAATTTTGCAAACAAGTGTCCATAAATAGATTGAACAACCACGGGGAAGCTACACAGCCCTGTCTGACACCTTTATGGATGCCAAACCAGTCGGAGTAGACCCCGTTGATCCTAACACAAGCACTAGAGTCCCTATAAAGAGATTCCAATGCCTGTATCAAGCCAGTGCTCAACCCAAATGAGTTCAGTGTTTGCCATAGCACATTCCTATCCACTCTGTCATAGGCCTTCTCCAAGTCCATGAACGCACAAAAAACCTTTTGGTTTTTGGCCAAAAACTTCTTCGCGATCATGCGCATGGAGAAGACTTGATCTGTACATCCCATTCCCTTTCTAAATCCCGCTTGCACATCCCAAATTTTTCCATCGGTTTCTTTCATGACCCTTTCAATTAGTACCTTGGCATACAATTTTCCCACGATGCTAAGAAGGCTGATACCGCGGTAGTTTTTACAGTCCTGCTGCGACCCTTTTCCCTTATATACTGGGACTATCACGGAACAGCGTATAGGTTAAAACACGCACGGCTTGCTAAATACATACGCATTGATATTGTAATTTGCTTTTAAATTTATTAAAGTTATGACGCGTACACTTGCTTAACACACAATAATGGAGAGATTATAACGCGTATGACTTGGTTACCACTATAGTAAAGAGAGGTTATAATGCGTACTTACTAAAAATACGTAAGCATTTATTATTGTCTGTATAAAATCTCTACTTACCTAACACCATCAGCAATATCCGGAACTTGTGCAGAAACACTGTCAGGATTCATTATTGTAATTATTTTTTATTATTTATTATGTACAAAAAACCTGTATACACTCAACAAAAATAATCGTCGCGACACCACACTGTTCAATGCGAAATAGAAAGACGAAACGAAAATAACTGGCTTGCTTTCTATGTGAGAGAGAGAGAGAGAGAGAGACTTACAACTATAGTAAAAAGTGTCGTTACAACTTTGGTCTTAATTTTTTCCGTCTAGCCCCCTTTCGCAACGCGCGATAAGGAATATCGTTCCAAAAACAAACATTTTGAATTAAATAAATTAATAAATTAAAATCTATCGAAATTCAAATCATATCCACCCTACTATTTTTTTATATTTATATTTAATATTTCAGGCATTGATCAATTTGGGTTCGTAATACAAAGAATCAAAATTTCTAAAATTATGGTTACATTATTATTTATTGTAACGAAAGAAATCATGTTATAACAAAATGTTCGTGTATACAACGTTGTACAGTACTAGTTCTAATTCGGGGGAAAGCATGAAACGGGGGGCGGAAG